TTATAATAATAATAATAAATAACAATTAATAATCAATAATTATTATTATTATTCATTATACCCTAGCTTTTGTCTTAGTCACAACCAATGGCGTAAAAAGTGTAAAGTCTCGAAAAAGGCATTAATAATAATAACAGCAATTCTTCTTGTTTTTCTTCTTTCTCTTCTTCTTCTTCTTCTCCTTCTTCTCCTTCTTCTTCTTCTTCTTCTTCTTCTTCTTCTTCTTCTTCTTCTTCTTATTATTATTATTATTATTATTATTATTAGTAGTAGTAGTAGTAATAGTTGTTGTAGTAGAGTAATTGTATTATTATTATTTTTATTGCAACATTAATATCAATAGAGCAATATAATATTCGTTTATCTATGATTACAAACATGAACACACCCACTTGCAAACAAGCATACATACACACATACATACAAACATACATACATACATTCATAGCTTGCATACTTTTTCATTGTTTAGCTGACATTTTTTCTATTAAAACTGTAACCAACACGAATATATACATGCTGTCAATATATACATGCATGCATACACACAAACATACATACAAACAAACATACATACATACAAACATACGTACGTACATACATAGGTACATACATACATAAATAAATATATATATATTTTTATTTTTTTATTGCCAATTATATCTGAAGAAGTTAACTTCCCATTTAGAAAACGAATTTCATTGAGCTTGTTAATTTTTATTGATAATTTTTTTCATTCATTTTTTCATTCATTTGTTCATACATTCCTTCGTTCATTCATTCGTTTTCTCCTTCATTCATTCATTCATTACTTCCTTCCTGTCTTCCATTTTGTTTTTTCCATGCTGTCATTATCATTATAGTTGTAGTTCAGGTTAACAAGTTATTTTTTATTTTAATTTATCATCCTCAACATCAACGACAATGAATCGTTGGTTTAAAGATAAACAAAACAACAACAACAACAATTCAGCAACAACAACAACAACTGCAACAACAAACAAACCAGCAGCAGCAACAACAACAACAAACAAACCAACAACAACGACGATGACGTCATCAACACCATCTATCAAATCAAGAATGGATCGAAGGCTGAGTGACGTCACGGAGACCATCTTCAGACCCTTCAGACGCCCCAGCCAAACCTACGAAATCACACCCCCACCACCTTCCGCTCCCTCCCTGAAGACCTCCCAGAGTTTCACCTTCAAGGAGGTGCAGAATATATCGGCCCCAACCAATGTCAAGAAGAATATACACGTGGAGATTGTGGACGGGGTACTCGTGGGATTGCCGCCCATTTGGGAGGAAGTACTCAAGCAGAATAAGATTACGTATGTGTCTGTCTGTCTCTGGTTGTCTGTCTGTCTGGTTGTCTGTCTGTCTGTCTGTCTTTGTTTGTCTATCTGTTTACTTGTGCAAAAAAATTATGTATTATTTGGATTTGATATAACCAATTTTTTTCAAATTTTCATAGAATTATTGTTGTTAATTAATGGATAATGCCGCAAAAAGATACGATCAAAATCTACTAATCTGTCAGCGAATCAGCTAATTAAATTCCATAAATCAGCTAACAAATAGAATATCCGTCCAACCACACAACCAGCCAATTAAAGTTAACCAATCAAATCTATCAACCAATCAGAGAGCAGGACAAGAAAGCCAACCCGGTAGCGATGATCCAAGCTCTGGAGATGTTCATGAGTACAAATAAGAAGACAGATAAATATCTCGAAACATTCAGTGACTCCGGTAGGCGGAGTTTATCCTATGCAAATTAGTTTTGAATATGTTAATGAGAATGAGTGAACGTGTTAATGAGGTATGAATATGCAAATGAGTTAGGCTAAAATGAAATTAGTTTTATTTTTACAGGCATTTCAAGCGAGGGCTCCATGATCGACCTGGACAATGAAGAAGAGTTCAAAATTATCGAAAACAACAACAACAACAATAATAATAATAATAATAATAATAAAGTTGATAATAAAGATAATAACAATAATTATACTAGAGATAATAATAATAATAATTATAATAATAGTAAGGATAAAAAAGATGTGAAATATAAAAGGGTGACTGACAAGATCCTTGAGAATACGGAATGGGATTTCCCGGCTGACGATCCGGTAAATGATGACGACGACGATTATTATTATTGTTCTTATTATTATTATTGTCGTTATTGTTATTATTGTTATTATTGTTTTATTTTCAGTCAGGGAAAGATAACAAGAAGCAGCCCTTGAAATCCCCCTCCTCATCTTCATCCTCATCATCTCCTCTAGCATCACCATCATCAGTAAAACCACCATCATCATCATCATCACGACCAGCATCATCATTACCAAAATTATCCTCGTCATCATCACGGCCAACATCATCATCGCCATTTGTGAAATTACCCGCACCTCTGCCGACAACGACATCATCATCGTCATCACCATCGTCATCATCATCAGTACCACGTCCACCACCACCACCATCATCGTCGTCGTCACTATCGTCACCACTATCACCACCGATTTCGCCAGTGGCAACGCCACGCACTTCGAAGCAAGCTTCTAAAATTGAAGTGCCTCAGAAGAAATCCACCACAGATATAATCAATATTTTGGGTGGGTGCTGCTGCTGATGATGCTGCTGCTGCTGATGATGATGATGGTGATGACGATGGTGGTGATGATGATAATAATAGGAGAATTATCGTTTAGGCAATGGTTTTAGAGAGATGGTTGTGATGACGATGACGACGACGATGATGATAATTATTATTATTTATAATTATTAATTATCGTCGTCTAGTTAACCTATCAGAGCAAGGATCGACAGAAGCAAAATATTCGTTCGTTAGAGTCCTTGGTTCCGGGTTATTATTATTATTAAAAACATTTAAAACATTTAATCTTTCGCTAATAAATCTTATTTGGACTGATTATTTTTGCAATAACTTTATAAACTCTGCCATATCATCGTCGTACGCTGTCTATCGCGACAGAAATGTGAGATGAATCAATTTTAAAACTAACTAACTCTGGTCGTACTCTTTCGATTCGAATGATGAGCTTCTCAGATTAATACTCTATTTATTGCATTTGATATTTTATATTATTTCATTATTTTATTTTATTTGTACTGCCATTTTTACTGTTTTTATTGCTGAATAAAAGATTGTTCCCATTATTTGATAATTAACCAAATTTTCAATCTCTCAACCAATCAACCGACCAACCAACCAACCAATCAGTGCCTCAGGAAAAGTGAACCTTGAAAAATTGAAAGCCGACCAATCAAAAACTGTTGCAATAAAGCACATGTGCCTCAGAGAACAGCCCAAGCTCGAGGCACTTGTCGAAGAGATTGAGGTAATAATAATAATAATAAAAATAATAATAATATAATAATTATAATAATACTAAGAATAATAATAATAATAATATCAATAATAATAATATAATAATTATAATAATAATAATATAATAATAATACTAAGAATAATAATAATAATAATAATATCAATAATAATAATAATAATAATATCAATAATAATAATATCAATAATATTAATAATGATAATATAACAACAACAAAATCGACAATAACAACAACATCATCAACAACGACGACGACACAGTTATAACAACAACAACAACAACAACAGCAGCAAAAAACAACAATAATAATAACAATAGGTGATGAAGAAGTTGAACCACCGGAACATAATAAACTACATCGAGTGCTTCTACCAGGATGGCACACTCTCTGTTGTACTGGAGTACCTGGAAGGGTGCTCGCTAACTTCCGTCGTTATAGAAACTGTTCTCAGGAGCGAGCAGGTTAGGATGATGATGAGGGTGGTGGAGAGGGAGGGAGTGATGATGGTGGTGGTGGTGGTGATGGTGGTGATAGTGGGAATGATGATGATGATGTTGCAGATGATGAGTAGAGAGCAATCAATCAACCGGTCAATCATCATTGAATTTTCAGTCAACCAGTCAACCAACCAATCATAATTCACTCACCCTCCAAACAACCAATCATTCAATCACTCACCAATCAACCAACCAATCATAATTCACTCACCAACCAATCATAATTCACTCACCAACCAACCAACCAATCAGATATCGGGCATAACTTACTGCTGTTTGGACGCCCTGAAGTATCTACACTCTCGTAACATCATCCATAGAGACATCAAAAGTGATAACGTTTTGCTCGGATATAACGGAGAGGTTTGTTTATAACGAATAATAATTAACATAACGCTAGAGTGCCCACTATCTCTTGTGTTGCTGTGTCTGGGTTCGAATGCAAACAAATCTCATCTTTTAACATACACTTGTACGATCAGCCGTCTAAGTTAATACATAAGTGCCGTAACTCTGTGTTTGTTATGTTGATTCATTGTGAGCTAACTGGAAGCTATATAAATAAACTATTATTATTTTTTTTTATTATTATTATTATTATTATTATTTTAGTAGTAGTAATAGTAGTAGAAGTGACGATGCGGAAATGATTGCATTACAAAATAGTACTATGTTTAGTAGCAGTAGAAATATCATGGTTCTTGATAATTGTGGATGATGATTGCTATCATTAATAATTATAATAATAATTATTAATAATTATCATTAATAATTATTATTTAACTAATTAGGTCAGTCAGTTGACTAAATTATGTCAATTAGTTAATTAATTAGGTCAATCAATTAATTAATTAGGTCAATCCGTTAATTAATTAGGTCAAGTTGATCGATTTTGGTTTCTGTGCACAGTCAGACAATCGCAAGACCATGGTGGGTACGCCATACTGGATGGCACCTGAAATCGTGTCGAGGTTGGTCTGTCTAACTGTCTGTCTGTCTGTCTGTATGTCTGTCTGTTTGTGTGTGTATGTGTACGTGTGTGTGTACGTGTGTGTAGGAATTTTTATATGTCTGCCGCGTTTTTGTCTATATGTGTTTCTTGTATGTTTGTTTCTTTTATATGTTTGTTTCTTTTATATGTTTGTTTCTTTTGTATGTTTGTTTCTTTTGTATGTTTGTTTCTTTTGTACGTTTGTTTCTTTTGTATGTTTGTTTCTTTTGTACGTTTGTTTCTTTTGTATGTTTGTTTATTTTATATGTTTGTTTCTTTTATATGTTTGTTTCTTTTGTATGTGTGTACACTTGTTTGTGAACGGTCAAAACGTGTCTACATGATATGCCACGCTACAGAAAGAACTACAGTTTCAAAGTGGACATCTGGAGTCTGGGCATAATGGTCATCGAGATGATTGATGGCCAGCCACCGTACCTAGACGAGACACCTCTGAAAGCCCTCTACCTGATTGCCAGTAACGGGAAACCGGAAGTGAAGAGCAAGGACGTCAGTGACGTCATGCAGGATTTCCTGGATAAAACTTTGGAGGTTGGTTGATTGGTTGGCTGATTGGTTGGCTGATTGGTTGGTTGGTTGGCTGATTGGTTGAAAGATTGATTGATTCTAGTAAAAACTTTGATCGATTGAACAACAATAACAACAATAATAATAACAATAACAATAACCAAAAACACTTTATAAGGTTGACGTGGCGAAACGACCGACGGCCAGTCAACTAATCAGCCATCCTCTCTTTGATATTAGGGAGGATTTGAAGTCACTCAAGCAAAACATCGAACTGGCTTTACAGTGGGAGAACGAGAACAATAAATAAATAATAATATTAATAATAATAATAATAATAATGACAATAATTACGATACCAGTACTACTGCTGCCGATCCTTCTATTACTACTATACTACTGCTACTATTACAAAAAACAATGATACGACCGCTGCCAATGTGGCGGCTACTGCTACTTCTGCTGCTTCTGTAGCTGCTGCTGCTTCTGTAGCTACTACAGCGACTTTAAATTTTAATAAAATTTATGTAGTGAAAAGGATGAAATGAACTCATTAATATTGTAGGGATGATGATGACGAATGAGTGAATGCTGATGATAATAATAACGATAATGACGATATATACATACATACAAACATATACACACACACACATAAGTATGTATATATATATACGTATGGTTAACGCCGGTTTCGTTGTTGGTTAAGCGCCAACAACGAAAACAAAGAAGTAATAAAAACTAGCATCGTAAATAGTGACAAAGAAGAATATGATGCTATCGATGAAGAAAAGGAGACCAAAGAAGATGACCAGAAACCTGAATAAAGAAACCTGACACCTAATTCGCATCAAAGTTCAATTTTACAACACCAAAGTTAATTTTTACAACGTCAAAGTTCATCTTGACAAAGTCAATATTTCCCTATATATACAGCAAGGAGCACTGACGATGATTCATTCGGAATCGAAATATGGCCTTATTTGCAGCATGAATTCGAAAAATAAGTTTATTTTGAATTTTAATAAACTAAACGTTCACAAAAAATAACTTTAGTGAGAAAAATCGAAAAAACGAACTACAAACATATTAACGCCAAACATTCGGTAGAATTTATAGAATATTGTAAAAATTATGGTCTATTACCAACATATATATATATATATATATATAGAGAGAGAGAGAGAGAGAGAGAGAAAGAGAGGGAGAGAAAGAGAGAGGGAAAGAGACGGAGAAAGATTCACTTAACAATGTTTACAATGATTCATTCGATCATGTATACATATATATAGATAAATTTATCAATGCTTTCACTTCGATTAACATTTTTAATTTATTTTTTCTGGATTATTTGATTTGAACTACGATATTTTACGTATGTGTGTGTGTATGTATGTATGTTTGTTTGTGTGTATGTAATATGTATGTATGTTTGTGTGTATGTTTGTTTGTGTGTGTGTATGTTTGTGTGTGTGTTTTTGTGTGTATGTTTGTGTGTGTGTTTTTGTGTGTGTGTTTTTGTGTGTGTGTTTTTGTGTGTGTGTATGTTAGAAGTCAACGAAGGTATGAAATAAGAAAAGTTGCATAGTTGATCCGATAAAGACCAAACAAGTTTTTTATTTTCTCATTAAATTAATTCAGGAATTTTCTCACTCTCTCTCTCTCTCTCTCTCTCTCTCTCTCTCTCTCTCTGTGTCTCTCTCTCTCTGTGTGTCTCTCTCTCTCTCTGTCTCACTCTCTTTCCACCACTTTTTTCTGTTTCTTTCTGTCTGTCTGCAAATGCAAGGAAAGGAAGATAGTGAGAAAAAGAGAGAGAAAAAGATAAGAACCGCAAGAATGTATGCATATGTATCGAGTCTCGATACTTACAAATTAACCTCAACTCTTAAATTTCATAAAAATCTGACAAATCAAATTAGAACGAATTATAATGGATATAAACATTGTTAGACTCAATACTTATAAATTTACAGAGAGGTATGTACGTGTATGTGTATCTGTCCGTATATATACATATATGTATGTGTGTATACGTATGTATGTAGAAACTATAGAACATAACGAGCGTTCAGCGAGAGTCTTCATAGGAAGGGTTTTCGTCAACGAGTGTTTCGGCTCTAACTTCCCGACACTCCCGAGAAACAGGTTCAACTATTTAAACTCGCATTCCTTTTTCTTCCTACATAAGCATCTTCAGTAAGACGCTTGTTTGGCTCTAGCACCTCCTATGTTCCTCATACAACTCGATCGTCTTTTACCTACTAAACCCAAATCCTTCAAAAAGCTGTACACTGAACAGCCAACAACTCACCTCTTGCACCGACCTCAACTTGCATACTACAAACAACTTAAGCCACGTTGTTCTATCTCACAAACGAATTCGTAAAAATAAATATAAATATACAATTACTATTTAATTTTTAATATTTTTATATAAAGAATTAAAAAACATTAATAATAATAACAATTAATATATTTATTATTATTATTGTTAGTTCTATTAGAATTGATAATAGCAAAAAAATTACATTAGCGATTATAAAGAACGATGAATGAACAAACGAACAAATGAATGATTGTATGAATGAATGAATGAATGAACGAACGAATGAATGAACATATGAATGAACAAATATTATTTCAACAGAAATAATTAACAGAAATGTTAAAAAAATTGAACAAGATAGACGAGAAAACGAACAAACGAACGAACGAACGAATAAATTAAAAACATTAAAAAAATGAATAGAGAACGAAAGAAAAAGTGAAAACAAATAAATGAAAGATAGAAAGAAGAAAAATAATAAAATGAATAAATAGACACAGAAACAACTCAAATGTTGACGCTCACAACATGGGTTTAGCTTACTAAAAAATATATATAACAACAAATATATATATATATATATAAAATAATTATAGTTATAATTAATAATAGTAATATAAATTAATAAACATGTACATATACATAGCTTTTTGAAAAATGACACCGATCATACATTAAGCTTATTATTATTTATATTATTATGAATTATACTTTTATTATTAATAATATTATTGTCGTTTTAATATTATTTTAATTATTATTACGCCAATCTATGAACATAAAACTTTACAGACAATATCATATATATATATATATATATATATATAAATACGCACACACACACACACACACACATATATATATATATATATATATATATATATATATATATTTGTTCATTGAATAAATAAATAAAATTATATATAAAAATTATAATAATATAATAATATTAATAGTCATGATGATGACGATGATGATGGCGATGGTAAGTAGTGGCAAGAATAAACGGTAGATATTTTTATTATTTCTATTATTTTCTTTAGGTTATTATTATTATTATTTGAAATTATTATTGTTATTATTTTTATTTGAGGTTATCATCGTCATCATCTTCTTCGTCATCATCATCAACATCGTTACTTCCAATGTTATCATCATCGTCGTCGTCATCATCATCGTCATCGTCATTATCAATATCGTTAGTATCATTAGTATCATTTGCGTCATTAGTATCTTTAGTATCATTTGTATCAAATTCGTATTCATTATGGATATCAGATCTATGATTATCATCTTCATCATCATCATCGTCATCGTCAAAACTTTCCATGTCTCCAATGATGACGCCATCATCATCGTCATAAGCGCCATCATCATCATCATCATCATCATCATCATCGCCGTTTTTATTATTACTATTTTTATCGATATCATTATCATCATCGTCGTCGTCAGAAGCAGAAAAAGCGGCGTCAGCATCGTTTCGAATCTGTCTGAGTTTTATGACTGATGTTTCTCTCTTTCTCTTGTACGATGGTGATGGTGAAGAAGAAGAAGACGATGATGATGTTGATGATGATTTTGGTGGTGATGATGATGTTAAAGATGATGATGATGATGATGATGATGACGGTGAATTGTGAATTCTAAATTTTCGAAGACGGCGTCGGTGGTGTTTTCTCCGAGTGTTCGTGAGTAGATTGTGATGGCTTTGCTGTTGCGACTGCTGCGGCTGGTGTAGTTGCAGCTGCTGTGGTTGCTTTTGTCGCGTCCGTTGATGTAGCAATGGATGTTTTTGATGCTGCTGTTGAAGTTGTTGATGGTTGCGATTGTGATGCTTGCGTCGTGTCGCTTGTCGTTGATGAGGCTGATGTGGTTGCTGTTGTTGTAGCTGATGAAGCCGTAATCCTGGCAGCAGCTGTTGTTGTCGCAGCGGTGGGTCATGCTGCTGCTGCTGCTGTCGTTTTCTGAGAAGCTTCTCGTCAAAAGTCGCTACTGCCGCATTGTTCAGATGAAGGGTACTGATGATTGTTTGCGCCTTGCCGAGTTCTGTCGTTCTAATTATCGTCGGCTCCCATGTCTTCTTCGTTCCTATGTACCATCTGTCAATCAGAGAGTGAGTGAATGAGTGAGTGAGTGAGTGAGTGAATGAATGAAGGATGAAAAAAGAATTAGTTTTTCAAGTGAATGAATGAATTAATGAATGAATGAGTATAGAGTTGATTGTGTGCTGACGTACGAATGAATGAATGAATGAATGAATGAACGAACGAACGAACGTACGAACGAACGAATAAATGAATGAATAAATGAATGAATGAATGAATGAATGATCAATAAAATGATAAATTACACAAATTTATAAGCAATTGCAAAACTGTAGGTGGCCTGCGAAAAAAAAACGAAAGAAAAAAAAAGCATTAATTTTGACATCGAGATAAAGAAACCACTATGATGATGATGATGACGATGAAGAAGAAGAAGATGATGATGATGGTGATGATAATGACGACGACGATGAAAGTTTATATTGTTCTTATTCCTTACCGTCTGATGTTTTTAGGTTGCGGTTCCGTGTGCGAACGTTTATTTCTTTGTTGTTGTTGGTGTTGTTGAGGTTGATGTTGTTGTTGATGTTGTTGTTGCTGATGTTGTTGTTGATATTGCTGATTTTGTTGTTGTTGTTGTTGGTGGTGGTGATGTTGTGGATGTTGATGTGGTTGTTGTTGTTGATGATGTTGTTGCTGAGGTTGTTGTTGAGTTTGAGGTTGATGATGTTGTTGTTGATGTTGTTGTTGATGCTGCCGATGTTGAGGCTGTTGCCGATGAAGATGTTTGTATTGTTGTTGTTGTTGATTATGAATACGTGAAGACGACGACGACGATTGAACAACGTGTAAGTATATAGAGTCAGAAAACTTAGTTGTGTTCGTGTCATCATCATCATCATCATCATAATCATCATCATTGTCCTCATCGTCCTCAACATCATCATCATCATCGTCATTAGTGATCAAGTTATTATTATTATTATTATTGTTATTGCTATTATTATTATTATTATTATTATTATTATTATTATTATTATTATTGCTCTTATAGTTTGATTGGATAAGATTCTCGAACCGATATTTATAATTAATGTTATTACGAAAATTATTATTATTCGCATTATTACTATGCTTATGATTACTGTGTTGATTGACATTTTTATTGTGATTAATATATTTATTATTATTATTATTATTATTGTTATTATTATTGTTGTTGTTATTGACTTTATGGCTAACTGAATATTTACTTAAATACCTGACGTTATTATTATTATTATTAATTTTGTAGTTATTATTATTATTATTATTATTATTATTATTATTATTATTACGGTTATTAATGTTGAAAAAAATTGATGATTGATTAAGCCTTTCCTGTAAAGATCCAGATGACAATGACGACGACGATGCTGATGATGATGATGATAGAAATGATGGTGGTGAGAATGATGATGAAGTAGATGAGGATGGAGTTTTTGTTGTTGTTGTTGTTGAAGATGGTAATGGTGAAGATGATGATGATGAAGAAATAGATGAAAAAGAAGACGATGAAAAAGATAAAGAAGATGACGATGAAGGTGAAGATGATGATGATAATTGAGATGATGATGCTAGCGTTGAAAATGTTGGAACGTTCGTAACATCAACATTAACATCATCGATAATACTGTTTATACTAGCTTCAGTAGAAGTAGTAGTAGTAGCAGCGGCAAAAGTAGTAGTAGTAGCAGCAGCAAAAGTAGTAGTAGTAGTAGTTGTTGTAGCAGTAGTAGTAGTCAAATTAATAGTATTATTGTAATTAATTTTTACAGTATGTTCATCAGCATTATTAAAAGTAGCATCAGTAGAATTAGTAGTAGTAGCAGCAGCAGAAGCAGCAGCAGCATTAGTAGTAGTAGTAGTAATAGTAGTAGTAGTAGCCGTAGCAGTCGCAGCAGTTGTAGTAGTAGTAGTAATCAAATTCAAATTTAAAACAGGTGTATATGCAATAATAGGTTCAGAGTTTTGGCTAACGGTTTCTAAGCCAACAATGCTTACGTTACTTAAATTCAAGAATTCTCCATCCATATTAGCATCAGAAAGTTTACTAAAAAGTATTTCAACATCACTAATTACTCCATCTACATGAGCGTTGATAGCAATATCCTTATCATCATTAACAACTTCATCATCGTTACTTGTAGTGTTAAAGCCGCTACTATTACTATTTAAGGTAGAAGTAGTAGTAGCGACAGTAGTAGCAGCTGTAGTGGTAGAAGTAGTAGCAGTGGTAGTCGCCTCGGCGGTGATGTTAGTAGTAGTATTTGCACTAGTAACATGAAAAATATTAACGCTTTTAACTTGGCTATCAATTATATTGTTGTAATTATCGTCGTCTTCATCATTACTGTTATTGTTGTTGTTGTTTTTGTTGTTGTAGTTGTTGTTGTTTACATTATAGATAAGAGGGAAAAAATTAGTCGTTAGTTTTGAAGTGTTTCTGATTGCTTTATTGCCGAACGCTGACTTGATTAATGGACTGATTTTCTGCAGCTGAGAAGACGATGACGATGGTGAAGATAATGATGATGGTGATGATAGTTCTGGCGATGATGACGATGAACGTGATGATGATAGTTGTGGTGATTGTGATGATGATGGTGGTGGCGGGGGTTGTGATGATGATGATGTTGCGGGGGGTTGTAATGATGACGATGTATGTGATGATGATGGTGGGAGTTGTG